CTAGGAAAGAAGCTGTAGCATGGGAACACCTTATGCTGATCGCCAAGAATTCATGTTATGAGACCACATGGCTTTCCCTTTTTATTCAGGAAACAAAATGCCATGATAGAACTGATTAACTTATTTGAGAATGTTTGAGAATTCACCGGTAGAGGTGATGCTGAGTATTGTGACAGCTTTTGAGTATCTTGACCTAGGTGATGGTCCAGTTAGAACTTGCTTAAAAGTTAGATCTCATAAGAGCTCATTGATAACCTCCTCAGAGTTTCAATTATGAAGTCTCTTATTGCTTTTTCTTTGTTTTTAAGCAAATATACATGGTACATTTCTTCTCATTAGAACTTTGGTCAGTTTTGGAGTTTTTTGCTGATTTTTTTTTTTTTTTTCAATTCTGACCTTATTTCAATTTGTGGTTTTGTGAAGGATTCTGGGAGAGGTCATGTGAAACAGCGTCTGCAAACATCAAAGGCAAATCTCTCTTGGTCTTTAGTTCATCTTTTTCATCCTAAAAGCATGCCAAGAGTGGCCATAGGAGCCTTATAGAAGTGTTGGAGTAGAGTGGAGAGAGTGGTTAAAAACAGCAAGTTGGATCTGTGAGCAGAAATTGAATATTGACTGAARTGCAGATTGCCGGGAATTTAAAGATGCACATTTTTTTATGTGGCTATCTGCACAGTCACATCTCCTTTCATGTTCATTACCTTTTAAAAAATCTTCCTTTTTCTTCATGGCAGTCTTTGTATCCCATTCCTAGATCAACTGGCAAGACCAAGGTTACTGCCTACTTTTTTGATTGAAATAATGGCTAGTGGAAAAGGGAAGGAATGGTGCTGGAGTTTGTAGACCCTGATGAGATTTGGTACTTCCAGCTGATAAGCCCCACTTACTTGATGGGGAAATCTACAAAAGAGCTGTTGATAACAGCACTTCAAATAAAACAGGAATAAAACATGTGAATGACTCTGAAACTGTCACTGAGTTGGGGTTACCTGGTTGTGTCCCCTGTCCCTTCAGACTGACAAATTCCACAAGGCAGCCTCACTTGAGAAAGGATTTCTGTCAGCAGAGAAACCTTGGGGTTTCCTCACACCTGCTTGTAGCATASTACCATAGAAAGAAGATGGAGTAATTAATAAGATATCCACATGCATGTAGGAGTTAAAATATAAAATTGACAATATTTATTAAAATATACCTAAATTAATGTTTATAAAGAATAAACATTTTTTTAAATTGTGTGAGCAGTAACACTAAGTAATAAAATCAAGTCCACTTGATGTTTCTACAAATTAGCCCTTAATTTTACTCTTTTAAGTAGCACAAGAAGAGTTTAAGAGTATTTCATAGTGTAAATAGGTTCATCAGGATGCACTGGGACTAAATCCTTTCCTGTGAGCAACAGACTGATGCTGCTCCCCGGCATTTTCGGTGKTTTTTTAATGCTGGGCTGCCTCTTCTTATGATAACTCTTTTTTTCTGACCGTAATTTCTCTTTAGTGAAAGAAWTGGTTGGCTTTCTGAACCATCAGAGCAATTGGCCCCAAGGAAGGAAAGAAAGAAGCTCATACATTAGATGAAAAGTAGAATCTAGCAAATTATATCAACTAGAAATCCCTTTTTAAAATTCTCCTTACTCAAGAGTCTGGCAGAGCCACATCTAGCTATGGTTTCTGTTCCCTACAAAGGCTGGAAGTGTGGTCTTTGAAGAAGAAATGCCGCAATTGAGGCAGGTATTCTGCTTAAGGGCTGGCTTCAAATGGGCCTCAGAGTGCTAGGGAACAGTCTGGACAAGCTGAAGAGGAATAATTCATTCTGAAAGAACCACCAGAATTGACTTGGGAGTCCCATCTCCCTGTCAGTTTTACTTAACTGGCAGTATCTAGAGCTTTTATCTAGTTCACACTAAACAAAGTGGGAAAATAGCAAAGGATAGGATAGGAAAGAAAACTGATAGCGAATACACTTTCAGCTGCTAGATCTGAGAAATAGATTTTAAGACATTTTGTGGTAGGCAAATAAATTAGGATGGTGCAACACTGACCAGTATCTCAAGCATTTTAACAGCATAAAAATGGAAATAATACATTATCCCTTTGAATTTGAGGGAGTAAGTAGATGTAGGTATTGGAATCCTTTTTGGCTTGGTATGTTTCAATGTTTGTTTATTTAAGCCATTACAAGTAGTCAGAAAATTTAAATCTTGATACTGTGTATTGTTTTACTACTCAGTATAATAAGTGAGTGAGATCATATTCTATCAGAGTGTAGGTATTTCTGTCCTGAAAAACTTCTAGAACATTGTCCACAGAGCAACATGAAACTTTCATTGATCTACTCATGGTGGAGCCTCCTTGTATAGAGCCATTTCAGTACAATCCGCTGAGTTAATTGCATGTCTGATCTCTTGATACCCTTCTTSAAAGGATAATTTTAAAACTTTACCCATTTCTTATCTTACAGCTGGAATCCGTGTTCTTTTCCCTCACAAAGAGGTTTTAGAGTGAATTGTAGAATTCTTCAGATTAATAGCTTTGCCATCCTGAACTATGTTGAACATCTTTGGCTTTCATTTGTGGAGGGAAGACGACAGATTTAGCCAATAGCTTATTAGGTGTTTACTCATCTCACAGAGAATCTTTGAGAGGACAATAACATTTTCTTCCAGGGATATGGCTCTTAGTCAAAACTTCCTCTCAGTTCTTGGAAGAGATATAGAATATCTGGTACCTAGATTAAATCAAGTTCATTTCAATTCAGGACCTTTCTTTGTCAGGCCTCTTCAAACAGGTAAGATTAATGTATACTGTTTTCATGGAAAGGCTGGATGCCTACAGGGTTCCAGTACTTAAAATCTTTTCCTGCTTTCTCTTGGCTAACTTTTATTTCTGCAGAAGTCTCGCACATCATGTCAAGAATATACATCTATAAATATTCCTTCAACATTTCTCTATTGCAAGTTGTAGCGTACAATTGAATTGCCTGATGTCAAGAACTAAACTCAAGTCTACGTGGGAGACAAGATCCAAGACTCTTCGAACTACTCAGAAAAAAACCCATCAAATTTAGTAGTTTGAGTCTCTTTAGGGACTTTTCCAGACGGAATCAGGTCCACTTAGATTTAACTATGGGTTTTTCTGAAAATAATAAATGTGGATTTTACTGGCACTTAGGCACAGAAAAGGTAGGCATTATTGTCAGGCYGTGGAAAGAATACAGCTTGTCCTGTTGCTGGAAATTTCACATGACTCTTCTTCCAAACTGAGCTCCTGTCTCTGATCCAGCACACACACACCTGCCCATGCTTCCATCAGGGGAATAAAGTCAGGGAGAGGAATATGGGATATGTTCCTGCTTCTCTTCTCTTTGTGTATCTCCTGGGGAGTTCAGTACCAAACACAGATGGAAAGCAGCAGGCATCTCTAGCTTTATGAGGGAATGCACCTCTCTTTTACTTGGAGAAATTATTCCTTTTATCTGGGTCAATCCATTGCTGTATTGAAGTGCTTGCAGCCTGTGATGGGCTGCCCTTGGCCAGCTGCCAGGCACCCACTCAGGCTCTCTCTGCCCTCCTCAACAGTACAGGGGGAGAAACCACATAAAAAAGTTCATTAGAGATAAGGAGAGGGAGATCACAAAGCAAATGTATCATTCAACTATGGTCAGTTCTTATCCCCTTTGTCAACAAAAGGACATTTCTGTTATGAGCACAAGGCAAATGAAAGAAAATTATTGCACACTACAGCCCCAGGGGTTGCCAAACTACTAGGATTGTAGAAAGCTATATATGAATTTGTTATACCTGTAGAAAATGATCTGTAGAAAATGATATAATGTTGGCCTGGGCTGCTCAACAGCATTTAACACCACATCAACTAAAGAAGGGAATATATTGTCTGCTAGAGGAGAGCTATGTTTAACTTATTATATTGAAAATACAGAAGTATGAAAAAGAGAAAACAAGTGTCTATCCCTAATACCAATCTCAGTATGGCTGTCATTCAGATTTTCCTGTGGAATCTCTGTGGGGGCTTGGGGCCTAGCTTAAAAAATGCTGCCTCTTGGGAGCTGGTTTGCAAAATGGAATTTGGGGCTGTATTTAGCCACAGGGACCAAAAAGTCAACTCCATGTCACTTTGCTTCCTATATTCCTATATTGACACTTGAAGTCAAACTAATAAATGGGCTACAAGTTCACCATTTTTTTTCACCCTGGCTTTCTTGCCAGGGAGTTTTTCTTTTGAGATAGACCTTTTCCTCTCTTTATATTTTTTTCTTCAGAATTTATTTCCTGGTTCTTAGCTTCCCCCAAGAATATAATTTCTGGCTTATGTGAGATATATCTGTGATTACTTGTGGTTCTTCTTTCCCTGTTCTTAGAGATTGAGATGTAAAAAGAAAATGCAGCAAATTACTCCTGCCCCTTTGCTGAGATTGTCTTTCTTTCCAAACTGTTACTATAAATCATTTACCATGAACTATGGACATTTCTTATACATCTCTCTATCCCTGGTTCTCAGCTTTTCATACATTATAGCTAACTGAGTGGACATGAGAGTACTTWTGTTTCCCTGGATGCTGAAACCTGGATGAAGTGACTCAGCCCCATCTCAGAGCAAGCCAGGGCCCATGTTTGTCTTGCCCCTTCCACTGGGACGATGGCATCCAGGAAGGGCTCAGGCTTGTGGTCCAGAGGGAGCTGTGGCTCACTCTGGGCAAGGTGTACACCTGGGCAGCTGTGTGTTCATGCAACTGAGGTACACCATTGCCACCAGACTTGGTGTAGCTGCAGCGCCATAGCAAGGCTATATTACTAATGTAAATGACAGATCCTGCAGTTGGAGTGGTTTTTTTTTTCATAATAACTTCTCCTTTTTCAAAGTACCTTTCTCTCTCTGCCCTTTATCAGTTTTGGTGCTTCTGGTGTCATAAGTCTTAAATTGGAAATAAATTAGTTGCAACAGCTCAGTGAATCTTTTTTTTCCTTATGTTTCTTTTTGCAGATGCTGTAGTAGCTGAAATTGAGAAAAAGATTACAAAAGCTTTTGAGGTGTTTGACCGTGAAGGCAATAAAACTGTGGATGTCAGGTTTGTAAATATATTCACAAAGAAATATTACAGAATCTAGCATAGAGATAAATAGCTCCCTAAATTGGCATCTGCTTTACCTGAAAATGTCATTGAAACAATTCGTTTGACCCTGTTTGGRCAAGTATGTTTGTGGTGGGTTGACCTTGGATGCAAACCAGGTGCCCACTGAAGCTGGTCCATCACTCTTCTCTTCCGTAGGACATTGGAGAGGAAGTATAACAAAAGGCATGTGGATGGAGATAAGGGTGTGGAGAGATCACTCACCAATTACCATCATGGGCAAAACTGACTTGACTTGGAATATTGATTTGTTACTAGGAAAACTGATTTATTACCAGTCAAATCAGAGTAGGAATAATGAGAAGTGAAACCAAATCTTAAAAATATCTTCCCCCTGACCTCCTTCCTTCCTGGGCTAAATTTTATTCCTGATTCTCTATCTCCTGCCAGCAGTGCAGGGAGATGGAACTAAGGGTTCCAGTCAGTTCACCACAGATAGTCACTGCCACTCCTCCCTACTCAGGGGAAGGACTCCTCATACTCTTCCCCTACTCCAGCATGAGGTCTCTCCCATGGGGCAGTCCTCCATGAACTTCTCCAGCATGGGTTCTTCCCATGGGCTGCAGTTCATCATGAGCTGCCCCAGCCTGAGTCCCTTCCAAGGGACACATTTCTTCAAGAACAGACTGTTCCAGTGTGGGTCCCCTGCAAGGCTAAAAGTCCTGCCAGCAAACCTGCTCCAGCATAGTATCCATTCTCCATGAGTTCAGAGGTCCTGCCTCCCTAAACTGGCATCTACTTTACCAGAAAATGTAACTGAACCAGTGCTTTTGGCCCTGATTGGATGAGTATGTCTTTGCTTGTTTAGTAGACATTTTGAATTATTCAGTGGTTGAAAACTGAAACTTGCTTGAGAGAGAGATGCTGGGATTGGTGGAATAAAGGGTCAAGAAGAAGCTGCAGATTGACAAGAGATCTAAGGCCACAATTACTGCTACAAAATAAATCCCTGCTCTGATAGCTCGTTTGGTACTACAGGTCCTGGATCCCATATGAACCCCCTGGCTTTCAGGATGTCCCAGCACATGMAGGGGTGTCCCTGCCAGTGTATGTCACAATAACCTGCACTCAACAGCAATTCATCYTTCCTCTGGTGTGATGGGAGATGGAGATTGCTCTGGCAGCGACATGTTTTTCAAAGACTTGAAAGAAACTTGCCTATTATTTGGTTATGAATAATCAAAATGATAAAAGTACTAATGTAAAAATCAACATAAATATGATCATACTTGATTGCCCCAGGTGGTATTTAACAGTACCCTCATTAGAGCTATCAAGTAGTTTCTTGTGGGAGGTATGGAAAGAATTGAACAAATGTACAGAAATACTCTTGTTGGTTTTTTTTTTTTTTTTTGCATCTGCTACATTATAATTTGAGTGGTCCCTGTTTTATTTTTTTCAGTGTTATGATTAATAGCAAAAAATTGTTCTCTATTGATCTTCTCATTAATGATTTCATACCTGGCTGTCACATTCATCTTCTCTCCACAGTAGTTTAAGGCTGAAGAGTCTGGAKGTCTTTAATCACTTTGGAGACACTATGTTATGGTTTTGGCCATTCTTYTTTTGTGCTGCTTCTTGTTCAGATTTCTCCTTTTTGAAGTGGAATGACCAGAACTGGGGAAATGGTGCACAGATGGGAGTCTGGAGGGAAAACTTAATGCACTTTACTTTTAGCATTCAATGTTATGGAAAAACAAAAAATATGTCTGAGCAAGGAGGTAGAAGTTCAGTGGAGAATAAAAGCCTGGACTGTTATGCCCTGATCAGGGCTTAACTGGCTGCAAGATACAAAGCTAAAGGATGTAAAATTTAAAAATTCCTAGATAATTCTGGCATTTTCAAAGTTTGAATATTTGACAGTGCTACTTAAACTTAATTTTAACATAAASATTCATACACATAACAATATGGCTTAAGTAATAAAATACATAAACCACATATTTATGTCTCAGGGAGCCAATTCTGGGGTTATAAGCTGTTATCATGAAAATTTACTGGAGTAATTTTTTGTATTTCCAATTGCTATTTTCAAAAGAATATTCTTCTAATTATAAATCAGTTACTGAGTATAAATACTACAACGGAGTGTGAGAACTGGTGAAATTGCTGTCATTAGACATTCTCATGAAGACAAATTGAAAAACATAGTTAAATGYTCTGAACACCTTTTCTACACTATAGAGAGAAAAGAGAGATGCAACGTTTTATATGATGGTTGTACAAATGCATGCTTACTAGTGCCTCTAAATTTAAGAAATTGCAAGTATTTAATAGAAGTAATGTTTTTTCAGCTGTACTCGATGGGGAGAATTTCAGGATACATCTCCACACTCAGTGTAGTTGTTCCCTTGTCCATAGGGCCCTTTAGGGAAGRCTGATCACTTAAATCTCTTGGCTTGTGCCAAGGGAGGTGCCTGATGCCCAGGGTTGTCACTGTCCTGGTGCCCCCTGGTGCCCTGCTCCTGGCTGGTAGGATGGTCCCTGCCRGCCTGGCCTGGGGCAGAGCCCCCTCGCTACCACCCCCAGCCCTGGGAGCCCCCAGCCCTCACTGCATCATGGCATACTCATTGCTTGTTGTTTGTCATTTACATCTGCAGTCTTGGCTAAACAGCTGTAGAATTTTATCCACTTCTCAATCCATTATATCATGGATATACAGCTTGAGAAAATCTTATAACAATGAAATGATAAAAATGATACTTTAAAAAAAAAATCTATTCATTCAGACATTCCAAAAGTCTATTTGATGTAGTAAATGCACAGTTTCACATTRATTTTTGTCGTAGTACATGTACAGACAATGAACAAAAACTTATTGTCTAATTATTCCCAGGTTCATATTGCAGGACTGTATCACAAATGGGATTATTAATGGCTGATTATCTTGTATCAGAAGGTGGCAACACAGCACAATTCTTAGCCACAAGTGTAGCTGTATCAGTATTATTGCCTGAAATATCAGATACCTGGGAAGAATGGAAAATTACACTGGTTCGACAGGCCAACAGCAGTATTCCCTAATGCAAATAGAAATTAGTAAGAAATTAGGCATGAGGAAGATGGTACTGTTTCATGCCTGTCCTTCAGTCAAGGATTTTTGTGATATTGCAAATCTTCTCATTGTAAGTGTTATATGTAGGGTAAAAGCCATGACCCAAAATATTTATTGCATCTGTGTTACAAAACTTGTATGATCATAAACTTGATTTTAACCATCATTTTCATATTCTAGAAACTACACCGCAGAAACTCTTGYGGCTGAACTAAGTGAAAGGAGGTGGCTGGGAGCAAAATACAGTTTTCTATCAGATCCTTTAAACTCCATGTTCTTACCAAATGGGACCTGACTTTTTTTACCACAAACACTTTCAGCAACATCCTCATGCTGCCAGGCATGTAGACTGCCAGATACAGCATCCAGCAGTGCCAGATTTTGCAGACTCTTCTAGGGCTGGCTTACCTTAGTCACATTACAGTTTTGCTGGGTGTGAGTGAGGTGAGGCAGGAGRATGATGGCAGCATTCCCATCCCTGGCAGTCTGTGAGAGACGAAATAGTGTGGGACAGCAAGGAGGCAGGATTTGTGTTGGATGTTGTTCTGGTGGAGGCAGAGAAGAGTTACAAGTAGCAGGAAAATACGAGGGAGTGCAGGAGTGAGAACAACAAATGCAATATTATCCATACTAKAAGTAGGATGCATGGACAAAGATTATGTCTAAAGACTGACCTCCCTGAGGCCATTGGCCATTCACGCCCACAGGGGCAGGATCATTTGAGTGGATAGTTTCATTTCATAACACGTGGATATGTGGGATTGGGTTTTGCTTTGGAACTAGTTTGGTGCAGCCAGCCTTTTCCTTTCTTTTGTCTATTGTAGTCCTTCTCACRTATTTTCAATCAGAATGGAAACTCCTTGGGACCTGTCTGAGGTCATCATAGACTTACGCATATAATTTTGCATATGCTTGGTGTGCTACATTCAGGGCCTTACAGTTATAAGATTTTACATAGGTCATTCCTCCYTAATTTTTGCACCAAATGAAAAAATTCACCACTGGTCAAGATGAAGGAATCACAGAGATTTGGATCATGGGAACCACCAACACTGTGAATRCATATTCAAATGTGCTTAAATTTCTGTGTTGTTGAATTGAATTGAATTGTAAATCACAAGCTATATTAATGCTTCTGTTATTTTGGTTTTAATCATTCCGTAAGTCTCATTAAAGCTTTATGACAGCTCTACAAACTTTTGTTTCTAGTCTAGATGACGTTGTTGATCTTAGATTATTTTGAGGCATTTCCAKTTTGGTAAGAATTTTATTTAGAGCTTCAGAACAGCTGCGCCAGGTTCAACAGTAAATGCAAGCTATGAATATATTTACAGCATAAACAGAATGGTGATAAGCCACTTCGTTGCTCTGTTTGACTCTTTCAGAACACAGCAGGGACGTATCAGGGCTGCCTTCTTCCTGACCTTTTGTAATTGTTCTTTAATGCAGTTAGAATTTGTATCTTTATAGCATTTAATGTAAGCTTATATTTTATTTATTACCTTGGATCACAGTAGATTTTCAAGTGATTYGTCAACTACATAAATATAGACTTTACTGAAATTAAGCATAACAATTASAGAACACGGTGGAAAAGTAACTTGCACACAGTACACTGCAACACAACAGTAAAGAATTTTTTTGGGAAAATTGCAAGAACAATTCCAAGGACCTTCAGAAGATTTAATGTCTGAAAAAAATAGACATTGCTTACTGAGACATCATCTTAAAAGCCCGCATAGATTTGCTTCTGTGCTTGTGTGTGCATACTCCTATATGCAAGCTCTGAATTGATATCTGGATTCTCCAGTCTTGTATTGAAGACTTACTAACAAAGATTCTTTCCTTCCTTCCTTCCTTCCTTCCTTCCTTCCTTCCTTCCTTCCTTCCTTCCTTCCTTCCTTCCTTCCTTCCTTCCTTCCTTCCTTCCTTCCTTC